CAACCCCGCGGGGGAGAGACGCACAGAGAAACCGATATAACGGCCGGACCCACGCCAGCTCGGCCCTCATTACGGGCAAAGGTGGGCGGGGGAGGAGACCAGAGCCCGCGCCCGGCCTCCAGCTTCTCACAGCAGCGAGCCCGAGTGGTGGGTGCGCCGTCCTTCTCTAAACGGGAGGAGAGCTCCCGAGCGAACCCGGCGCCGCAGGGGTGCGCGGGGGCCCCAGGAACGCGCCGGGCCCGGGTGGGTTTTCGGGTTTCGCGCCTGCGGTAGCGCTGGGCTCCCCAAGATCCTGCGCCCGGTCGGCGCCGAGTTCGCGGTGGGAGCGCCCGCTGGGTCGTCCTCTCCGCAGGTTCGCGCGGCGCGAGGGCGCACACGGGCGGCATCTTCACTCGAGCCAGACTAGTCCGCCTTTATCGGGGTTTCTGTCCAAGCTTTTCATTTGCCCCGTTTAGATCATAGCTGCTCCGGTTTTCTGAGCCTTTGGAGGACGCAGTTGCCTGGTTCTCCATGGCGGTGCCTTACCTGGGCGAGCGGCTTAAAGAGCGCTTTTCACTTGCACATCCCGAGGGTCATCTCCGCGGAGCTCGGGCCGGTTCTGTGACTCCCATGGCACAGGTCGGGGAAGCCAGTGGCCACGCTCCTACTCTTAACACTTCGCTCCTGTGCTGACTGAGAAGATGGTATTCTGCTGTTCGTTTTGCTTTTAACTTGAGCGAGGCGGAACATCATTTGCATTCCTTTTTGGTGCTTGTATTTGCCGGGCTTTTTAAAAATTGAGTTTTTCTTACTAGTTTGAAGGAGTTGTATGAACGTGAAGTCAGAATAGGGCTTTGTCGGTCATAGATGCTGTAATATTCTCCTCCACTTGCATTTAGTTGGTGTTACTGTATAGTCTGCGTTATCAATCTTTTCGGTTGAGGAGGCTTACGGATTTTTGTGATGTTAGAAAGCTATCCACGCCAACTTTTTAAAATATATTCATCTTTATAGAAATTTTAAGCTTTCACATTTAAAATTAAAATTTTTGATAGGCTTGGCTATTATTTTGATTTAAGAATAGTGAAATAAGGGATATAGGTTTATTTGTTTTCCACCCGAAAGCCCCAATACCGGTTTTTTTCTTTTTAATAACCTTTCTTTTTTTCCAACTGACTTGAAATACTGAGTCTCTCAAAATCCAGTCTGTTAGGCCATTTCTTATTTATTACCAAACTGTTTTCATTTGTAATGTAAAGTGGATTGTGCTTTGATATTTTACATGAATAGGTACTATTTTCCCAAATCTCTATCCTACTTTAATTTTTGTGATAAAACTAAATAAGAGTAAATGGTAACTAGTGAACAATTTCAAATCTCTTAATTTTTAGAAAGGGAAAAATATGCACTAATACCAATAAGAAAATTTTAAGAGCATCCTCTTTTAAAATAGTTCTCCAAACACAATTTCAAGAATATAGGCCTTAGCTTCTCTGTGAAGCAGTCAAGGAGGGTTATTATTGTTATTTGGTTTGGTTTTGAAAAGAGTATATCTCAGAAAACACAATATATTTGCTTCTACAATGAGTTATGTTGTCCAAAAATTGTTATATTTTCTTATAGACTTTTTCATTGCTGTCACTTCAAATGTAGCTTCTCTATCAATTTATTAAGCAGGAATCTATTATCAGATTTTAATTCACTACTTTAAAGGTATTTTCAACATAAAACAAAGTACGAATCAGTGCCTTCCCAAATTTAAAAAAAATTCATCGTCAAGACGACAGTCAATGCTAATTTGTCATCTTTCTGTGCGTGCATTTTCTTTAAAAACTAGTTTATGTGAAGCAAAGGTTGTCTAGATGAAATTTTTTTCCAGGTGTTTTAAGTGCATTATAATAAAGTGAGCAATACAAGTGGATAATAGCCCTAACCAGTTTGGCTCAGTGGATAGAGCGTTGGCCTGCGGACTGAAAGGTCCCAGGTTCGATTACAGCCAAGGGCATGTACCTTGGTTGCGGGCACATCCCTAGTAGGAGGTGTGCAGGAGGCAGCTGATGGATGTTTCTCTCTCATCGATGTTTCTAACTCTCTATCCCTCTCCCTTCCTCTCTGTAAAGAATCAATAAAATATATTTTTAAAAAGTGGATAATAATCTCAGAGTGATTACCCCTAATAATAACGATTATTCCTGGTTGAATTTGCTCTGCAGAATGCATTAAATTAGGAAAAAAAATGAAGATACATTCCGTGGACCAAGGAGCAGAGCACATGCTGATTCTATCCTCAGATGGAAAACCATTTGAGTACAACTATAGCATAGAACATGAAAGGTAGGGAACTTTTTTTAATTAAAAAAATTATTTCAATTTTACTTAAAAGGCAATTATAATTTTTGTAGCAAAATTTTCCTTTATATGATCCTTGTCCCCTGCTTTATATAGTGGCATTTTAAGTAAACCATGAATTCTGAACTGACCATTGAATTCCATGAGTAAATTACGAACCAATTCATTTCACCTAGGGCACTTATCTTGTGTTGCTTTGACATTTAAAGGCAATGATTGGTTAGTCTGCCTAGTCCCAAATTGGACTTTCACATTCACTAATTCATAATAATCTTATAAATTAGATTTCTAGAGTAAAATCTAATAAATCTAGAATAGAAGTATTCAATCAAGGAAAAATACTTTATCATGGAATGATTTGTGATACTTTCTCTTAGTAGACCATAAGAATTAGAACTTATTTTCATCTTGTATTATTCCTGCATCATAAAATTATTTTATAAAAGTCTTAGAATCATCTTATTACAATTATATAATGCATATTATTTTCCTTTTAAACCACTTGTTAAAACATTTTTGTAATTGCATTTTTATAATTTAGATGTACTGAATGTGAAGCAGTAAATTATAAATTTTTTTCTTAAGCTTCAGTACTAATTAAATGCAGTTAATAATTCTAACATTGATGTTGTGACTTTCATTCATATAATGATTGGCATAAAATATATTTTCTTTCATCAGGCTTCAATGTTATAGTTTTTTTCAAGAAAAAACTATAATTCAGATCACATGTGGAGATTACCATTCCCTTGCACTCTCAAAAGGTACTTTTTTGGAATATTAATTGTTTTTTTAGAGGGATTAAATATGTGTATATATAGAACTAATAGAATGTGTATGCTTTATTTTGTAACAGGACAAAAATATGGTTTTGAATTGGATATGGTTCAGAACACTATTCTTACAGGAGATATAAAATGAGAGAATTCTTGGGCCTATAAAATCTTCAGATTTCCATAATTACAATTCCTACATTTTATTCTGTCAGAAGACAAAATTAAAACAATTTAGTAATGAGTTTGATGTCCTTTATTCAAGAGGAAAATGATCCATGAATTAGGGAGTAAAGTGCCTCACAAGCAATGGAGCCTCCTTCCAATGGATTCTGGGCAGGAGCAAGTTTCATAGAGCATTAGAAGATCAAACTTGGAAACAGGGTGTGATTGCCTGGGGTTGCAAATCTCACATTATTTAGAAAAATCAAGGAACGAGGAAATAGCTGGGTTGGCTTGATGTTTGGGGATTGGCTGAGTGGATATACTGTGTTTCTGGTCAAGGGGAGCATTTATAGAAACACAAAAATTTGATTGACATGGCATGCCAGGCAGGGCTGGCTCCATCTTGGGCCTAGAGATTTATTTCAACAGCTTCATGTTTTTCTTTTTCAAATATGAAACAATGAAAATATTCTGAATAGTCAAAATCATTCTGTCTGGAATCAGGACCAGCATGGGCCACCCTTTTCTAGAACCTTCTCCCTTTTTCTTAGTGCTCTTCCATCTCCCATGGTAGGAGCTCAGAATCTTTGGCTCTGCTTCTGTGGCCAGTGTGCAGCCCCTGATGTGTTTTAACATTACCTTTTGAATTAGGGATTCTCTCTAAGCTCTTTATTATTTCCTGTTTCTTATCAGACACCGAAATGAATTATTTCCTAAAGAAACTTGACCTGACCGTGGAGGAATAATTAAGACAGGAGAGTGATGGGAATTCAGAGTCAAACATTTTTTATTAATGTATAGGATAGACATACACACAAACTGAATGGAAGCTGGGAATCGAGGGAAGTAAATAATCAAGAATTTGATCTGTCCTGAAGGCCCTATGAAAGTTTGAGAGTATGAACTTGTATTGGAAAAAAATGGCCTGATTGTTTTTCTTCATCCATTCATGAAGAAACATGTAATTTTTAATATCCATCATGTTCAGGTTATGAAGACAAGCAGACACACTGCACTTTCAAGAACCCCAGGCTCTAGTGGTGTGGGGGGAAAGAGATGTTCAGGATTTATTACCGGTAAATCACATGTAAGAAAAAGGAAAGTTGAGGAAACAAGAAATAGAACTACATGCTCATCATTATATTCCTGGTGACGGAAAGGCCCATGATAATTAGGTTTGAAGGAAAGTCTTTGCCTCCAGATCTTGCACAGTATGTTGCTGGGATTTTCAGTAAGTGTTAATTCTCTGATATATTTTTTCAGACTCCATTAGATATTGTCAACTCCATTAGATAACATCTAATAACTTTTCTTGAAAAATATATTCAATTAATGAAAGAGGATGCTGGTTCTTTAAAGATACTGTGCTGCAACTTCCAATGTATTTTTAAGTTGTTTATTTAAGACTAGAGGCCAGGTGCACGAAATATGTGCGTGGGGGCGGGGGGGCGGGGAGAGGGAGGTCCCTCAGCCCAGCCTGTGCCCTCTCACAGTTCGGGAGCCCTCGGGGGATGTCTGAGCAGGCCTAAGCCATCAGTCGAACATCCTTAGCCCTGCTGCAGAGGAGGGAGAGGTTCCTGCCACCGCTGCTGTGCTCACCAGTCTTGAGCCTGGCTTCTGGCTGAGTGGCGCTCCCTTTTTGGGAGTGCACTGACCACCAGGGGGCAGCTCCTACGTTGAGTGGGATCATGTCGAAACGGCTCTCCGACATCCCCCAAGGGGTCCTGGATTGTGAGAGGGCGCAGGCCAGGCCAAGGGATCCTACCAGTGCACTATCACTGGGCTTGGGAGGGATGTGGGAGGTAGGCCAGCCAGGGAGGGAACGCAGTAGGGCTCCAGGGCATAACTTGCCCGTCTCGTTGAGTCCTGATTGGCTGGACCACAGCAGCAAGCTAACCTACCATTCAGATTGTCTGCCTTCTGGTGGTCAGTGCACAACAGAGCAAGTGGTTGAGTGGCCTTAGCATAGCATTAGCATATTTCAATTTGATTGGTTGAATGAACGAATGGACACTTAGCATATTAGGCTTTTATTATATAGGATCTTTAGGCTCATTAAGGGGGGGGAGAGAAAAGAATGGTTTTTATCGAGACGTACAATGTTTTTGTGTTTCACGGACTTATCCTGTGGGTTTTTAAAAATATTTTTAACTTAATTATAATATGTGCAGATAACTTCATTCTACTTGTCTTTGTTTGGGCTTCTGTAACAAAAATGCCACAAATTGGGTGGTTTCAACAACAGAAACCTCTCACAGTTCTTGAGGCTGGAAGTCCAGTTCAAGGTGCCAGCAGATTTGGTGCCTGATGAGGAGAGGGTAAGAGCTCTCGGGGGCTCTTTTATAAGGGCACTAATCCCATTCCTGAGCGCTCCACCTCATGATCTCATCTAATCCCCATCATTTTCCAAAGGCCCCACCCCCTAATATCACATGGAGGATTAGGATTTCAATATATGAATTTGGGGAGGGCTACAGTCAGTTCGTAACACTGCCAACTGTTACTGCTAAAAAGAAGATTCTTCTAGTTTTTCTGACTCAGACGTATGGGATCCGAGAAGTCCTGTTTGAATGTAAGAGACTGTGGTAGTATAATAGAGATTGCATAGGAATGCCGTAGGGTAATGTCTGCTGCATTGTAAACTCAATAAGACAGCATTTTCTTTGTTTGTGTCCAGGTGGTGAGCTTTTTGCCTGGGGACAGAACTTAGATGGCCAACTTGGACTTGGGAGAATACTTGACTCAACCCCCACACCACAGCTTGTGGAGCGCCTCTCAGGAGTCCCCTTGGCTCAGATTTCTGCAGGAAAAGCCCACAGCATGGCTTTATCCATGTCTGGAAACGTTTACTCGTGGGGAAGAAACGATTTTGGACAACTAGGCCTGGGCCACACTGACAGTATGGAAACACATTTTAAAACTCATATTATCAACAGACATATTGTTAGATGCGTGATGAAATTAACACAGATCTCCCTTTTAAAAATGGTTCAAGTCCTCGATTTTCTTGTCACTGTTCTTCCTGGTTCTCTCTCTGTCTTCAGGACAGAATCGGCTTAAAAGTCATGCCTAGTGTGGAAGTCCTTGCTATAATAGAGATACATGTCAGGGCCATGTGGGAAAGGGAAAGTGTATCAGACGGGATTGGAACACCTGGATTATGATTCCCACCTCACAGTTAACTAACTGCAGGGCCTTACCAGTCCCTTAGCCAGCTTTTCTCTAGGCCTTATTTTCATTTCCTGTAAAGGGATGAGCTTGGATGAAATGATCTTCAAACTCCATGTGCACTTACGTGTCTATTAACATAATTATATTATGACAAAAGGATACTAAAACTCTATCTTAGGAACTGATCCTAATCATATCCTAAAAACTATTCATTACATCTGTACATACATGAGTGTGTGCACTATAAAACACGCACAGTAATTTCCATTATTGAACTACCGCCACAAAGCAGATGGCAGAATTTCTTATTGACCCAAACACCTTGTTAGAGTTTTCAGGTGTAGCAGAATCCATTGATTTATCAACTCTGGTAATAGTCACATTATCTCCTGAGTTATTGGTCAAACACTGCATTTCTTCTTTATGTGGTCCTTTGCTAATTTCTCAGGAGAACCCATAAGTTAAAGTTAGAAAAATATTCAAAGGAGGCAAAGAAATAAAGGGCAATTAAACTGTTTTAGTTGAATCTCTAAGTGATTTGACAAGAAAATAATCGTGAAAAAGAGGAGAGATAGAGTGAGGCAAGGACAACGTAGTAGAGAACTGAAAAGAAAAAAATAATGTTTATTAAAAAGGATAATTCTCAATGGGAATTGAAAATACAGATATCCTGCAATTAAAGTTAATCGGGCCAGGTTAAAAAGACAATAGGCCTGGGAAGTGGCTTGATACGTTCACAGGTGAGTCCTTTGACCATTGCCTCATGCCCACCTTTAAGCCTAAATACACCAGCGTAGAGCCTTTCTGGTCAGAATGTGTTGGGAATTGTAGTCGGAGAGGAAGTAGCCCAGGTATGTTACCAGTAGCACAGAACTCTGGTGTGAAATTCAGCATTTCCTTTTGGTCACTTCAACTATTCTTTCCCTCGTACAGATGAAGATTGTCCTTCCCTTATTGAAGCACTGGACAACCAGAAAGTTGAATTCCTTGCTTGTGGTGGCTCTCACACTGCCTTGCTCACAAAGGTGTGTGTCCTTTGTCTCCTTGACTGTAATTTTGGAAGAACACTTTGCAGTGGGGAAAACACGAGAGTACCTGGGTGTGGGCAGTTAGTGTTTCCCAGGGAAGAAAGGTCATCATTTCCCACAAGCAGGACGTCTTCCTGGTAATTGTGGGTTTTGCTTTGACTGCTTTGCTTTGCTTTGCTTTGTTTTGTTAATACTCCCGGGAGGATATTTTTCCCATTGATTTTTAGAGAGAGTGGGAGGGAGGGAGGAGGAGAGAAAGGGAGAAACATCAATGGGAGGGCGACACATTGATTGGTTGCCCCAGTCAGGGTGGGGATTGATCCACGTACATGCCTTTAATCAGGAATCAAACTCAAGACCCTTCAGTGGGCGAGCTGAGACACTAACCATTTAGCCCACTGGCCAGGCCTGACAGTACTTTTTAATTATTCATTGACTAGAGGCCCGGTCCATGAAAATTCATGCACTGGGGGGGTCCCTCAGCCTGGCCTGCCCCCTCTCACAGTCCAGAAGCCCTCAGAGGAGGGAGGCAACCCAGTGAACAGGGGAAAACGATGCCCCCACCACACCTCTGCTGCTGCCAGTGCCGGCAACGCAAGCCTCGGCTGGCCCTGGGTAGCTTGGCAGCCGCTAGGCAAGGCTTCCCTGCACCTGGGGCTGGCCCTGGGCGGCTGGAGGGCTGAGGGGACGGGGGACTCCAGAAGCAGGCACTGGCGGGGCTGAGGGGACTGGGTGCTGCCATCTTTAAGGGTGTGGCAGTCAATTAGCATATTCCCTCCTTATTGGCTGTGGGCGTTGCCATCTTTGAAGATGGGACAGTCAATTAGCATATTCCCTCATTGGCTGTGGGCACTGCCATCTTTGCAATGGTGTGAGGGTCAAATAGCATATTCCCTCTATATTAGATAAGATCGTGCCTTTGCACCAATAAATACAACTTCTGTGTCTCATTTCTCTAGAATCTGATATGAACTTCTCTTTCCTTAGGATGGGCTCCTGTTTACTTTTGGTGCTGGAAAACATGGGCAGCTTGGTCACAATTCAACACAGAATGAGTTAAAACCCTGTTTGGTGGCTGAGCTCCTTGGGAAGAGAGTAACCCAGATAGCATGTGGAAGGTAAGTTGTAAAGTGTTGATGGAAGTTGATAAAATCACTACAATAAGTTCTGGTTGGTAGTTAAATAAAATGTCCATCAGTTTCATTGATTGAGATAAAAGTATTAAACATTTTTAAATGGAGATGCTTAATTTACATTATTAGATAATCATAATTTTTCTTTAGTATACATGTTTGTTTTCATTGATTTTTTAAAAATATACTTTTATTGATTTCAGAGAAAGGGAAAGGGAAAGGGATAGAAACATCAATAATGAGAGAGAGAGTCATTGATGGGCTGCCTCCTTCATGCCCCCTACTGGGGATTGAGCCCGCAACCTGGGCATGTGCCCCCGCACCGGAATCTAACCTGGGACCCTTGATCCATAGGACGACACTCTATCCACTGAGCCAAACCGGCTAGGACTGATTTTTTTTAATGAACAAATACATTCACCTTCTAAAGCCCCTTCAGTGAAATACCTTTGTAACTGTTCAAATGCACTTTGTCTTTACAAAAAAATGTCATCATTTATTTGGGAAAAATAGAAACAGACTCTTAGATAAAGAACAGACTAACAGCTGTCAGAGGGGAGAGGGGTTGCCAGGCTAGGTGAAAAAAGGTGAAGGAATTAAGCAAAAAACAAACAAAACCAAAAAACCTCATAGAGACAGACAACACTATGGTGATTATCAGAGGGAAAGGGGTTTGGGGGAGGTTAAGGGAGATAAATGGTGATGGAGACTTGACTTGGAGTGGCGAACATACAATACAATATACAATATAAGTACAAAGATGATGTATTATGGAATTGTACACCTGAAAACTACATAATTTTATTAACCAGTGCCACCACATAAATTCAATAGAAAAAGTAGATAAGCAAACATGAATCACAAAAGATTATTCATTGATAACCCCTCAGGGGCCATCATACTTAATCACCGTAATTCTCTCAGAGTGATCACAGTCAAGAAGAAGACAAAGTCATTTGTGCTTTTGAGTAAAATATTCTTTAGAAATTTGATTTTCACAGCTTTTTTTTTTTAAACAAAAGTAGAAAAACTTTCTCACACTCCTTGGTTTATTAATTATTTTCTTCCTTGAACCTCAATCAATCCACTTCTCATTAGTGGGATGTTGGGTCTTGGGGTTAAGAAGTATTTTAACCCAGATACTTGTATTATTTTCGTCACTAAACACAAGCAAATTCAGACTGTACTGAATATTGGGTTCATTTGTTTGTTTACTAAGCCTTTGCTATTAAAAAAACTGGTGTATGTACTTTTAGAAATAGACTCTATGACAGTGGTTCTCAACCTTCCTAATGCCACGACCCTTTAATACAGTTCCTCATGTTGTGGTGACCCCCAACCATAAAATTATTTTCGTTGCCACTTCATAACTAATTTTGCTACTGTTATGAATCGTAATGTAAATATCTGATATGCAAGATGTATTTTCATTGTTACAAATTGAACATAATTAAAGCATAGTGATTAATCACAAAAACAATATGTAATTATATATGTGTTTTCCGATGGTCTTAGGCGACCCCTGTGAAAGGGTTGTTCGTCCCCCAAAGGGTTCGCGACCCACAGGTTGAGAACCGCTGCTCTATGATCTTGGAGTAAAATTACATAAATGAATATTATGAAGGTAGGCCAGATTATTGGGGTGGCATAATTCTCTGCATTCACTAATGTCTGCATTATCCAAAGAAGCTATCACCACGTTGGGTTTTTCATAACACACATTCCTTAGTGTAGCAGGTGTTACAAGAAGAGTCGTCATGTTAGAGATGTAATGCAAACCAGGGCAGTACCCCTGTTAACACAGAAGAATTCTCTGGAAAGCCTCACAGAACTCACTGAAAGCTGTTATACTCATGGTCACATTGATTACAAGAGGAAAAACACAGATTATAACCAAAGGAAGAGATGCACAGGACAGCATCTAGGAGGGTCCAAATGAGGGGCTTCAAGCATCTGCTCCCCTCGACAGTGTTACCTCCTCCCTGCGTGATACATGGCCACGTGTAGAGTATTGCCAACCAGGGAAGCTCACCCAAATCCAGAGTTGCTACAGTAGGTCCTTGGGTTACATCCGAGATCCGTTCCTACGGCAAGACGAAACTCGATTTTCGCCGTAAGTCGGAACCCACCTACATAAGCACCTACATCACTCACATGGAGCACATACACAGCAGTAATGAAGTGAAACAGTAACAAAAATTTGAAAGATAACAATTCCTGACCTTGTGGTAAATAAATCATAAAAACATAAAGCACATATGTATAAACGTCGAAATGACGAACTTTTTTTTTTATAAATACTGTAAATGGGAGATGAGATGACAACGTAACCCCGAAACGGCGTATGTCGAGGACTGCCTGAATTGTGGTTTCATTGCTTAGTCGTGATTAATTGAATCATTGTCTAGGTCCGTGGTTCCCAGCGTGGGGCCCCACAGGGGGACAATTGATTTTTAAGGGGGGCAATTTGAGAATGAGTTACTAACAGTGAATTTTTTTCCATTTCTTATGGTTCTAGGGGCCTCATATATAGTATGTAAATATATATGGTGACATATTTATGCATTTCAGTTCTCTATTATATGTTTTTGAAACTTTATTTGCTATTTTTTCATATCACTTCATATTATTATTTTTTTAACAATTTCTTAGTGATTTCTTCCTCAGTACCTAAACTGTCCTTTTGTTCTTTTGTTTTTCTCAATGGATAATGCTATGTTCTTTAGAAGCTTGTTTAGACCAAGTTAATGTTAATGGCATAGACTTCCTGCATATGAACAGGAGTTCACTTTTTGAATAATAAGAATTATATGTCGGGGATGGGGGGAGAGGGGCATCAGGATTTTAGAGATGCTTTGGTGGGGCATGGTCAAGAAAAGGTTGGGAACCACTGATCTAGGTTGTTGAATTCAAACTCCAGTGTCTCCCTTCCTGTAGGTTTGCATTAGTGGTGGCCAGAGGGGCCCCCTGAGCCACCTGCGTAAACTATTAAGTCAGGGGCCTGCCATGAATAATAAAGACACACCTATTGTTTTGGGAGTTTTAAGAATTTAGGAGTTACCTCCCAGGCCCTGAGGACAAAGGTCAGACCTCTATTTGAGCAAAGCCAAATTCAATGTAGTGGGTGAGACCATTGAACAAAGTTGTAAGAAAATCAGGGTGATAAAGGTCTTTAGGAAATAGAGTGGGAACTCAGAGGATCCCCTAATTCCATTTTCTAGCTTGGGAGAGGAAGGGCTTAGAGGTGGCTTCCAAGAGGTGGTGACTCTCAAGACAAGGCTTAAAAAGGAGTCGAAGGCAAAGGGAGATGCTTGTTCCTGATGCAGGGAACACCACTTGCCAAGGTACAGATCATGGCCGTGAGTCATCTCAACCACACATGAATGATTTGGTTTCCAGGTAGCTAATGTCATGCCTTGGCAGTTGGTTAGCTAGTTTCACTCACTAGTAACCTAATTTTGACAGTTTCCTGCACTGCTGTGAACTCTCATTGTGGATAATTGAGAACTGACCATATATGTGTTTTTATTTAATAGGCGGCACACACTTGCCTATGTGTCTGATTTGGGGAAGGTCTTTTCTTTTGGTTCTGGAGAAGAAGGACAACTGGGAAACGGTGGAACACAGAATCAGCTGATACCACTTCCCATGAAATTGTCATCAAATGAAGAACTCAAGTTTGGTAAATTCTATAGGAGCACAGGATTTGGCGTAAATACTTTTGTCGAGAAACTGTATTGTGGCAAGAAAAGAAATGTATGACTGAAGGGAGTTTCTTTAAACATTGGTTTCATTGTTTGCTTACAAACCATTTAAAATATCCAGTCTAATTTATCAAGTCAAGTTAATCAGTTTTCTCTTACCTCTTCAGATTAAGATAAATGTGGACTTAAAATGATACAACCTAAAATAGACTCTGGATTCAGAAGCATATGCAGCCTCTGATTCCAGTTTGCAGGGGGCCTATTAATTTCACGGTGTTTGGTTTTCTTACCTGGTTAAGTAATCATGTAAAACCCTCAGAACGAGAGCAGCTGACATATGCGAGGTAACTGTGCTGAACACTTCGTATGTGTTATCTAATCTGTCCTTAAACAGCTCAGGGAGATGGGTACTCTCAGTCGCATTTTACTGGAGGTGCAGAGACAGAGAGTGAAGGGTTAGCCAGGGCTCATGGCCAGTAAGTGGTCCGGCTGGATTTGAACTGTGTCCTGTGCAGCCTCAGAGCCTGAGCTCTGAAACCCTCTACTCTAGAAGTACCTCGGAGCACTTTAGTTACCGTTCTGAAGGTTTAGTGGCGACCTAAAGTACCAGAATTCTCTCAGTTCTCCTGCGAAAATGGACCGTAGGGTTATTTCCTTAAGCAGCTCATATACTTGATTTCTTCTAACCACTTACATATACTTTTGAAATACTTATTTACATTCCTCACAGCCAATAGTCATTGGTCAAATCTTGAGTTGTAGAGTGTAGTTTTTAGTAATAGCCAAATTACATCAGGAGCAGTTAACTAATCAAGTATTTGACTGTGAAATATATATGTGCATTGACATTAATTCTGTACATTAAACTGATGCCACGTATCAACCTTGTGAGTCACCTGTTTGCCAACTAGACTTTAACCTGCAGTAGATATATATTTCTGCTTTATGGGTGGGAAATGTGCTGAGTCTTTGTCTATCACAAAGCTAAAAGGACTACGTTTTAAAAGAATCTGAAATTAAAATGAGTGTGCATGTTTGTACCAAATTTTAAACTCTTACTTTCTGTATATCCCTTTCAGAAAGCCATACCTCAGAAAATGAGTTAATAATAGTTGCTGGAGGAAATCAAAGCATTTTGCTCTGGATGAAAAAAGAGGTAAAAATAGATCTCTAGATGTTCTATAACTTGGTATTTTAAGCAAAACAGTTCCAGAATCCAAGTTTGGTGAATTCCAAAATCATCAGGTGACTAGGCTGACTTTTGGGGATTTGGTCAGACATTGATGCTTTATTGTCTAAACTACATAATATGTACCCACAAAGATCAGATTTGTCCCTTGTGAATATCGAATCAGAGAGATTTCCTTAGATTCTTCATATCTTTGGGGAGGTCCCTGCCAGTGGCATTTGGTCAGTGCCCTAGAGAGGCAGTGGTTGACTTTCTGATATAGTTCTGCCAGCCAGTACTAACACAGAGCTGAGGTTCATAGGCATATGCATAAGTCCTTGCCCTACTTCACCAAGGCAAATCAAGTTCCTCCTACTTCTACTCTCAGCCCTGTTAGGATTTGCCTTCCCCTCAGAGCTGTGTGATGATGTTCATTTTAATCCAATCACACCTGTGTAAAGTGCTAAGTGTTAGGGCACTCAGAGAAATTTACTTTGGGTCTAAATTTGTATTGAAATTGGCCATCAGGAAATGATTGATTACTCACTTTATCATTGCCCAGAGCTCTATTATTCGTATTTAAAAAGTCTGTTTTACCCCCCATCTTTAGAATATGCCTGTAAGTTGGATACCTATTCCTGTTGTGTCTAAATAATTGTATTTCTTTTCTTTTTGTGTGTTTACAGAATTCGTACGTTAATCTGAAAAGGAAAATTCCTACATTGAATGAAGGGACTGTGAAGAGATGGATTGCTGATGTGGGGACTAAGCAGTGGCAAAATACAAAAAGGTATACCCATGTGTCCGACTGTCTGCTTATGCAAGGCTTCTAAGCTGTGTCCCCCATTAGTTCTGCACAGTACAGAACTGTAAGATTTGTGGTCTACTAAGGGTCCACTAGCCAGAGATTCCCAGAGCTCATGTGTTTAAGAGGGCTGGTAAGTATAAAATTCATAAGGCAGACCAGCAGGGAGACCCAGGGTAGAGTTGATATTGCAGCTTGAGTCCCAAGGAAGTCTGGGGGCAGAATTTTCTTTTAAGGCCTTACATTAACCCTTTTCTCTTAAGGCCTTCAACTCATTGTATGAGGCTCACCCATATTATGGAGAAGTAGAGGCCCCGCGTGAATGAAATTGTTCTCGAGTAGCTTGCTTCCACTTGCCTCAGCTGGCCACCCCGCCCATCGCCACTTGTAGCTCGCTGCCCCTCCCCCTCCACCCCTGGTAGCCCTCTGCTGCTCATAGCTCTCCCCTGCTAGTAGCTCACACCCCGCCCCGCTCACCATGAGAGCCACTGCTCCTTTGGTCTTGACAGCTCTATGGTGTTAGGGCCATGGGCTTTTTATATATATAGATAATCTGCTTTACTCAAAGTCTGCTGACTTCAGTGTAATCTATTCTAATACTTTTACAGGAACATCTAGGTTTGTGTTTGACCAAAAATCTGGATACCGTTGCCTCGCCAATTATTATTATTATTATTATTATTATTATTGTTTTATTGTACTATTATTGAAACATACAATAATCATCACAACTAGCATGGAATCTCCATGAAGGCAGCTTTCTTTACTGCAGAACTGCTCTGGGTCCTTGACATGTTTGCGTCTATTTTGACTATCTGAGCAGGAAATACAGTCCACAGGTTCCCAACCCTATTTGACCTTAGAGCCACTTGTTTGTGGACCTCCTCATCACAGCTGAACAACTTCTACCATCTATAAAGACTATACTTATATTTACAAAAATTCTGTTTAGTGATTTTTTTAGGATGGCTTTCTAATTCTAGAAAATAGTTATTTAAAAAGTTACAAAGATGGAACTGAACATACTCCCCTGACCTCAATTTCTGGTAACTTTTTGGTTTACACGTCAGTGGAACAGAAATAAATAGGGCTAGGAAAAGTTGGGTGGGATGAGAGTGTTTAATTTGTCACAGAAAGTAATGACCCTATGTTGAGCCTTTTCCGCTTTCCCCGTGGCTTCTCTGAATACATACCCTTTGATTGCCCATGTTTGCCACTGAAAATTTGAGATTTAGCAAATGGAATCAACTTTTAGATACCCAAGGCAATAGCAAACACATTGGAGACAGAGGGAGAGGTTTGAAGCACAATTATAAGATGTTTTAATTATCACGTCTCATGTTATAAGAAGGCATATTCATGATTTGTTTTAACCACTGTCTTATTCCTAATATAGGGAAATCAGAGAGATATTTTCATCTCCTGCATGTCTGACTGGAAGTTTTGTAAGGGAAAGGTAATATATATAATAAATTTATAAAGTTCTGTTAAAAGTACTGTGTACAGATGGTGCCTATAGTTAATACTGTATGTTATGTTTGAAAGTTGCTAAGAGAGATCTTAAAAATTATAACAAAAAAATTGTAACTATGTGATGATGGATGTTAACTAAACTTATTATGGTGATCATTTTGTAATATATACCTATACTGAGTCATTATGTCATACACCTGAAACTAATACAATGTTATATGTTAATTATATCTCAATTTTAAAAATACTTTGAAAGATTATAAGGTACTGGTTTAAGTACTTTAATTAGCTATGTGTTTATCTCTTTAGAAATTATTTTTTTACAAAAGCAAATATATGATTGACATGGAAATGTCAAAAATACAGATACACAGCAACCAAAAAATGAAAATCATCCATAATCCACCATCTAAGAGTAACAGTTAGTGTGTATATTTTTCTATGTAAATATATTCTTTTACCAAAAAATGGGATTATATGTTGTTTTATACATTACTTTACACTTAATATATTTGTCTGTTTTTCACTTTGTTCAATTTCCATATTCATATTTTTATTACCTCATTTTAATGGCTGCATGGTATTCCTTGGGAAAGACATACCCTAACTTATTTTAAAACTTTCTTGGAAGATATTAAGATTTCTTTGAATTTTTAAATAGTATGAGGGAAAAACTTTATACTTCCTTTTCTATATATTTGTATAATTTTTATTTGAAAGAATCTTTCTATTTTCAGACACCAAATATATGTATTGTTTTACAAAGAATGTGTCTATTTTTAGACAGTGACTATATTCAGTTTACTACTCATGGCTTAAATACACATCATTATGGTTTATTAGAATACTAACAGTTTACTGCTCTGAACCCTCTTTTATTTGGTCCCCACTTTCCCTTCATGTAACTCAGGGAAATTGCCTTTTTTTGGCTTTTTTTTAAAATCCTCACCTGAGGATATTTTTCCCATTGATTTCTAGAGAGAGTGTAAGAAAGGGAGGAGGGAGAGAGAGAGAGAAAAAGAAACATCAACATGAGAGAGACACATCAATTGGTTGCCTTCCACACACACACCCTTACCGGGGCTGGGGAACCTGCAACCCAGGTACATGCCCTTGACTAAGGCCAACACTTTAACCACTGAGTCAGACTGGCCAGGGCTGTGGCTGTTTTTTAATAGAAAATAAATATTTGTTGATTATCCAATATCCGAGTTAAAGTTAGACTGCATATATTGTTAATTGAGCCTTGATATTTTTGACGTTTTAGAAATCATATGTTGTCAGATATATGTGTGTGTGTGTAAGAGGAACCAGAGTGAGACCCACCTGAGGGTCCTCACCTGAGGATATTTTTTCCATTTATTTTTCAGAGAGTAGAAGGGAGGGGGAGAGACAGAGAGAAGAAACATCGATGTGGAAGAGACACATTGATTGGTTGCCTCCTGCATGTGCCCCGACCAGGTGGGGATCAAACCTGCAACACAGGAAGTGCCTGTGGCCAGAATTAAACCTATGACCCTTCTGTCCTCAGCTGACATTCTAACCCCTGAGCAAACCAGTTAGGGCATCAGCTATGTTTTTAATTGTATTTGTGTTCAGCCAAATTATTACAGTTATTGTAAAGTTGAGGAAAATATAAAATTTTATTGAAATGAAAGCAAGTTTTGAAAAAAGCCTTTCATCTGATTTTGAATTGAACTTTTTCATTTATTTATCTCCTTTTAAAATTTTTCTTCCACAGAATAGCTGCAGACACCATGTTTACTCATTTGGACTTAACTAAAGCAAGAAACACCTTTAAGGAGTTAACCCAGAAAGACTGGATTACTAACATGGTGGTATTCTTCACATTGTTTGGGAAAGGGGAATCACTAAAATATTTTAATAAGAACTCAAAATTTCCGAAGAAATATTTTGTTTTGGGAGAATCTCTAAGACCTTGTTGTATATCCAGATTAAACTCTGATAATATATATAGAGGCACTCTCAGGTCATTAGGAAGATGATAAAAGGAATTGTTGAGATTGACACACTAGAATATTTTAAACATAAGTATAGAAATGAGAATAATTTTTCTGACATGAACATCCCCTTCACTGAGGTCTTTCTGGATTCTTCCTCTCTGTTTTGTTCCATTGCACTTCCTTTTTGTAGATTCTATAATATTTTTGTTCTTTTTGAGATTGTTGCTTCGGTGTTTCAGCGCTGTCAATACTGTCTTTAGGTTTCCCACTTGCAGATCATGCAAACATTCTTCCGTTATTGAATTAGCCTTCTTGATTCAGTCTTCATTAATTTCCCTGTACTGTTCTACTGGTTGATGTAGGGGTGGTACTTGCTACGTTCTCTCAATGTGTTTCTTTCTGGGTCTCACTCTGGTTCCTCTTTCTCTCTCCTTCACTTGTCTTTTTGCCTTCCTCTTCCTCTCCCCTGTTACCTTCTCACTCTACCTCCTCCTTTCTCTCTCCTTCCCCCTCAAACCCCCCTTTCATCTTTCTTCTGTTTCTATATCTCTCATTCTCTTTCCCTCTCAATCTTGCTCTCATCTTTCTCCCTTCCTCTCAGCTCCCTCACCTGCTCTGTTGCTGTCTGCAAAAAACAGCATCTGCATCTTAGCTTTCAAGTTCTTTCTCTCACACATTCCTGTATTGCAAGGGAAGGTGAAAGTTCAATTCTGTTAACTTTGACAGAACCATGGCCCAATTAGGGATCTGAGTTAAAATGCATCCCTAATGATGCCCCTTTATCAGGACTCTGCAGCACTTAATGGAAAGATCACACACAAAATAGAAGGCCATTTCTGCACCTGTGAAGAGAAGTCTAATTATATCTTGGTTGTGCCAGCACAGTATCATAAAGTGTAAGTGACATAATAGAGAGCAATCTCCCACTATTTCAAGTGGGCAATTGGGTCAGAAGACCTGTAATGTTTCTCTTTAGAGATTTCTGTGATAGAGAGTCACAGCCTTGGCATTTATTTATTTAGCAAACATCTGAATATTGCTTTGTGCAGGGCATTGCAATGAGGATTCCTGATAAACCATGAAAGAGCCATGCTCTGCCCTTAGAAGGTCATGGCTTAGCTTGGCACATAGACACGTTCATGGAGCTACTAATGGGAAGACTGGGTGTGTTTTACACGCCACTCTCTTCCCTAATGCCTAGCGTAGAACATAGTGGGTTTATAGTAAATATTTCGAGTGAATGAATTCAGTCATGACTAAGGCCCTGGATAGTCAGCTCTACTCACAGCACTCAAACAAAACAAGGTGCCCAGGGGAAGTAGGTGCCTACATGGGGAGGGCACTCCTGGAAGTGAGGGAAGTGTTCACAGAAACTTGGGGTATGAAACATGCAACTGGCTTGAGAGTATTGCAAAAGTTCGAGTGGGTTGGGAGGTTTGGGGATGTGGCTAGCGATGAGCAAAAAGGTAGGAAGGATGCATCTTGTTGAAACGTCATTAAATAGAGTTGTGTGTGGGGTCCACATGGCTGTGGGCCCTGTGGGCGAGGGCAAGGGATTCGAGGGTACGCCCCTTGCAACAAGAGTCCCAAGAGCAAAAGAGAGACAAGAGCAACAAGAGAGCGAACTCCTTTGATTAAGCAATTAAGTACCTCACATCTTCCTGCTCTTGCAGTGGCCACACCTACTCTGGCCAATGACCTGTTCCCAGGTATGACTGACAGACAAGTACCTTCCCTATTTCACCCAGACCTCACTGGGCATGTGTCTGTTCTCCCCCTGTCAGTCCATTCCCCCAGTGGGGACAAACCAGTGGCTTCCTGGGGAGGGTTAAACCACAGCTTCCTGGCAAAGCTGTACAAATGGCAAGTCGCTAACATTTGACCTTCTCTTTGCTCCTTTCCAGTTATTAATAACTGGGCTAAATTATAACAGTATCAGTAAAAGTCAATGTTTACTTGAGAAACAGAGCAATAGAGTTTCCTTACAGGAACAATTATGATTGCAGTTTTTGTTGGGAGTTGAGTGAGGGGGACCTGATTGAAGGAGGGGACAGTGTTCATTTTGTTGTTATATTTCAGATGCTGTATTAAGCGCTGGCTCTTACTTCCTCTTTGAGCACTTAAACATACAGTAGATGACAATGCTTTAATTTTCTTTCTTTCTTAATTGATTATAATTTCATTTAAAACATATTTTTATTAATATTTAGAGAGAGGAAGGGAGAGAGAGAAACATCAATCAGTCGCCTCCCACACATGCACCAAAAGGGGATCAAAGTCACAACTTCAGGTATGTGCCCTGACCAGGAATGGAATCTGCCACTTTTGGTGTACAGAATGACGCTCCAACCGACCAACCAGGGTAACAATATTTTTATTTTCAATATGAGAAAACCATTACTTGAGAAGTAAATAACCTCTATCGTGTTTGGGAAGCAGGATAATCCTGGACTAATTGTAAGAACACTGATGTAGTAGTAATAATAATAATAATAATAATATAGTACTTTACAGTTTATTGTTGCATATATCATCTTACTTAACCCTTACGTCATGTAGAGGCAGACACTATAGTTAAGAATATCTAAGATCTGCCCTAGCCGGTTTGGCTCAGTGGATAGAGTGTCGGTGTGCAGACTGAAGGGTCCCAGGTTCAATTCCAGTCCGGGACATGTACCTTGTTTGCGGGCACATCCCCAGTAGGGGGTGTGCAGTAGGCAGCTGATCGATGTTGCTCTCTCATCGATGTTTCTATCTCTCTATCCCGCTCCCTTCCTCTCTGTAAAAAATCAATAAAATATATTATTTTTAAAAAACAGTATCTAAGATCTATTAGATCGAATAAATAATGCTAGCTGTTGTCACAAACAACTTCTAAACTTCAGTGGCTTAATACAATGAAGATTTATTTTACACATCCTAGTTCCATGAGGATTAAAAATATGAGGCACCTGTATTTTTTCCCCTCTATCCATCTTAGTTTCATTGGGTGAGACCCTACAAAATTGAGAAAAGACAGGTTAATAGGTGAAAAACAAACCAAAGTTTATTCACATGTGCATCCTTCATATACACTCAGGGATGAGAAATTTGAAGGGGTGGTTAGAACTTGGGCTTATATAGCATCTTAGTAAAGTACAATCATTTTGTAGAGAAGTGACCAGACAAAGGAAAAGGACTTTGAGCTTCTAGAGGTGCCAAATTGTGGGAAGGCAAATATATGGGGAAATGAATGGTAGGAAAGGGCTAGTTAGTAAGATTTGTTTGTGTGGACTTTCTCAGTGCCAGCTCATCTCTGCTGTAAGGTGGTTATCCTCTTCCTGGTACAGGAAGTTGGGGATAAGAGGACACCTTCACAAAAGGAATTTATATTCAGTTTTCAGGTAAATAGAGGGGAAGCCAGAAAGCTTGTTCTAGTCTGTTTTTTCTTACTTGCCTTCAGCTCAAAATGATCCTCAAGCCTGGCCAGCATGGCTCAGTGGTTGAGTGTCGACCTATGAACCAGGAGGCCACAGTTCAATTCCAGTCCAGGGCACATGCCAGGCTGTGGGCTCAATCTCCAGTGGGGGGCATGCAGGAGGCAGCTGATCAATGATTCTCTCTCATCATTGATGTTCCTATATCTCGCTCCCTCTCCCTTCCTCCCTGAAATAAATTAAATATATATATTTAAAATGATCCTCATGCCAGAGTGGCATATTTTGGGGTGGCATAGTCTGCTACCCTTCCAACCTCTGCACAGTTGAATTCAAGAGTGGCGCAGGCTCCTTCTTTCTGGGTTCTGGGGCCATGAAACCCTCCAGTAGATCTTCTGTTTTTGGTTGGCAGATGAGGAAAGAGTATGTAAGGTCATGTGAGAGGTTTCTGGAGGCCATGCCTCGACGTGTTGTACATCACCTTCACTCACATGGCATTAGCTAGAACTCAGTCACATGGCCCCACAACTGCGGGGGCGGCTAGAAAATACCATCTTCCGGTGAACCCAGGAGGAAGCTGCAACAGGACTGGAGAGGGGAACACATGGCATTTTCTCTGCGGAGGCAGATTTTAGCCCAGACAGGTCTGGGTATGGATCCCTGCTCTGTCACTTTCTAATTGAACCACCTCCACAAGTCACTCAGCACCTACGTGCACATGTGATCCACTTTTATTTCCTTATGCACCCCAATATAAAATCAGAAGGATGGCTCGCGCATACTACTTCAGGGGCATTTGGGATGCAAGGAGTGATGAACAACAGGTTTCAGGAAAACTAAATGATTATTCTAGTTGGAAAGTGGAGGAATGAAACCCCTGGTCCCAAAACTTATCCTGGCCCTTTCTTTCTCTGATCCCGTTTCAACTGCAGATAACTACATGTCTCAGGGATCATCTGCTCGGAGCTCTTCCATGCCGTTCTCCACACCAAGAAGCGTTGTCAGTTTTCCTTCTGCTCCCACAATGTCCTGTGATGCACGATCCTAGGAACTCAGAAAGTCTGGTGGTTCCCTTTGCACAGGCTGTTTGTAAAATGAGTGACCAATCCTTACGAGTCCTGAGTAAGTTTGATTCCTTTCATGTTACTTTATTTGAACTGTCAATAGAGTCACTGTCTGAAGTAGAAGTTGTAGCAAATTTTGAATAGATTTCAAAATACACAAGTACTTGGGTACATGATATATGAATTATTGGAAAGATAAACCTAAAGCAATTCTAATCATTACCTTTATACCGTGCAAGGCATGTAGAATTCTTAGACTTGGACATGGCTTTGACATCAGAGTTTAGTAACCGTAGAGGATCCAGTCACGATAAATCCACTTTGAAACTTTTTGCTCGTGCTTTAGACATCATATCCAGAGGGGATGAAAAAGAAATGTTAAGCTTTGTGTTCTTGTTTATTTTATTTACTACAATAGGTTGTCTTTTTACAATTTTAAGCTAGTGTTCAAGGTCCAAACCTTGAAAGGAACAAAGAATATATACAGTGAAATATAAGCCACCTAGTTCCCCTCTCAGAAAGCAATTAGTTTCTTTTTTTAAAATATATTTTATTGATTTTTGACAGAGAGGAAGGGAGAGGGATAGAGAGTTAGAAACATTGTAGAGAGAGAAACATCCATCAGCTGCCTCCTGCACACCTCCTACTGGGGATGTGCCTGCCACCAAAGTACATGCCCTTGACCGGAATCGAACCTGGGACCTTTCAGTCCGCAGGCCGACCCTCTGTCCACCCAGCCAAACCGGTTAGGGCTGAATATAGTTTCTTGTGTAAACTTTGAAAGATATTATGCGTAAAAACATATAGAAATGAATTTTTTAGTGGCAGCATACCACTCACATACTTTGGCAACTTGGCTTTTCCCCATTTAACAGTATATTATGGAGAGCATTCTGCTGTTGAATCTGTAGCACTGCCTTATTCTATGTAATGTCTGAATAGATTGTATTGGGAGGATATACTATGAGTAGTTGTTTCTAAATTTTTGCTATCATAACAGTGCTAACATGCATTTCTTTGTACATTTGTAAATGTACAGAGTCAGGGAAAATTCCAGAAAGCAAAATTACTCGGTCTAATTGTATATGCATTTTAAATTTTGAGAGATTTTGCCAAATGACCCTCCACAGAAGTCTGGGCCACCAGGTAACCCAACTTCAAGTGGCCACCATCCACACTGTAGTCTAAGTAAAATGCACCCCTGGAGTTGGGCAAAGTAGCCGCCAGGACACAGGATGTATGTTTACCCTTCACAACGAACATGACAGCAGCAGCCCGTGAATTCATTTTTCTACAGTGTTATCAAACTTTTCTCATTGTGAAAAAAATAATCTCTTAATTTAATTTTCTCATTAAGAATGAGGTTGTGCTGGGTTTTTTTTCTTTTCTTTTTTTGGGGGGGTTTGTTTTATTAATCCTCACCTGAGGATATTTTTCCATTGACTTTTAGAGATAATGGAAGGGAGGGGGAGAGACAGAAAGAGAGAAACATCAATGTAAGATTGGTTGCCTCCCTCAAGAGCCCCAACTGGGGCTGGAGATCGAGTCTGCAACAGAAATATGTGCCTTTGACTGGAATCGAACCCAGGACCCTTCAGTCCTCAGGCAGACGCTCTACCCACTGAGCAAACAGGCTAGGGATTACTAGTTTACTTATATCTCATTTCATTTGTATATCATATCTGATAACTAGCAGTTCTTCCCTCTTACCCATTTTTCTATCTGTTGTTAGTTTTTATTTAGGAGGTTTCAAACTATTATGGCAGCTAATCCTTTATCAACAATATGAGTTACAAATTTTTTCTTTAGGTTATTAAAATTGTTTTTACTTTGTGGTATTTTTGCCATGTATAATTATTTTTAACATTCTTATGAAGCCTACTATATTAGCGTTTTCCTTTATGGTTTCTGAGTTTGGGTCATACTTCAAATAGAGTATCTCACTCGGAAACAAAGAAACAAAAACATTCCCATGCTCCAACTAGAATTTTTATTGTTTCATTTTTATGTTTAAATCTTTGATCCATATGGAGTTTATCTTGATTAAATTCTTTTCTGGATCAGTTTCCACTTGTCCCCAGACATTTATTGAATGATCTGTTTCATTGCCATTAATATGCAATGCCACTTTATCATATCTAACCTCTCATGTGCATTTGGATCCATTTAGGGACTTGTGCTACATTGATCTGCTTTTCATGCATTTGGGTCATACTGTTTTAATGGCATTAGCTTGATAATATATTGTAACGTTTGATAGGTTTATTTTCTGAGAATTGTCCTGTAAAGGTACAATAATCTAGACTGTAACCTCAGGAATATTAAAATATTGCTATTGATATAATTTTATATAAAAATATATCTGTATATACCAGGTGTGTATGAAGTCTGAAGACATAGATATTATTTTTTACAGATTGGAAATATCCTTGATGACATTGTATGTGTATATGTATTCACCTATGTATGTTCTCAGACTTTATAAATAACCTATAGAACTTTCAGTTTGACAGTCATGAAATCAATCAAGTAATCAAGCATAAATATGAACTATCAACACATTTCTTTGGAATCCCGAATTTGAGCTTTTAATTCCAATGATACTTAATCAGGGAAAATATTTTTTCTGTAATAAATGTTGTCCAGGATGATATCCTTAGAAAACATGTTTTATGGGTTTTGTAATCAGAAATGGAAAATATCTATTTCTCACATTAAAGAACCCAGTAGAAACTGAGGGAGTATTTTTTAGGGGGGCAGAGGAGTATATATTTATCATGACTGATTTTGCATCCCTCAGAGCAGTGTTGGGCATCTTTGCAAGAGTCTTCTCTCAGCACACTGGTCCAGATGCTTAAATCAGCCATCATTGCTCAAATGATTTATTCACTTGAAACACCTGAGAATAACTGCAATCTGAAACCTCTTCTAGAAATGATGAAAGAAGTGTATAAGGTAAGTGTGCATCTAAAGGAATGTATATACCATCTTACTAAATACAAATCTTGTAGTTCTCAGCCAATTGGAGTCTTGTTCTGTTATGTTTTTCACAACAGAAAGAGAATATTTTATTCAGCCTTAATAATTCAAAATTTTGCTTGTTTTGCTAATTGGATAGACTCTGGAGGAATATATTACATATTACATATAATATATTAGATGCACAAACACTAGTCAAATATGAGAGTGGTTTAGCATTTTCATTAGCGTGCACAGCATAATCTAGAAGTAACCAAGGTTAGGCTACTAACAATCTTAATATTGTTAGGGGACAGGAGAGGAGCCAGAGCATTTTCAATAAAACAAGAGAATTAAGTTGATATCATTCTATTAAAAATTAGGTAAAATAAGATGCTTTTACAAATAAATTGCTAAATGGCAATCTGAGCAAAGTTCACCATAAAATAACAATCTCAATAGGAGAAAATATTACATACAAGGGTTAATGCTTTTCAGAAGTACTATCATAGTACTACTAGAGGCCCGGTGCACGAAATTTGTGCATGGGGGGGGGAGGGGAGAGGGGGTGTCCCCTCAGCCCAGCCTGCACCCTCTCCAATCCGGGACCCCTTGGGGGATGTCCGACTGCCAGTCTAACCGGCAGTCTGGGGATGTACAACTGCCAGTCTGACTGGCAATCAGACATCTCTCTCACAATCCAGGACCACTGGCTCCTAACTGCTTACCTGCCTGCCTGCCTGCCTAATCACCCCTAACTGCCCCCCCTCCCCCCGCCGGCTTGGTTGCCCTTCCCTGACCCCCTCTGGCGGACTGGTCGCCCCTCACTGCCCACCTCTGCCAGCATGGTCACACCCAACTGCACCCCTGCCAGCCTGGTCGCCCACGCAGCCTGCTGCTCAGTCATTTGGTCGGCCCTCACTAACCCCCCTGCCTGGTTAGCTGCCCCACCCAGCCTGCTGCTCAGTCGTTTGGTCGGCCCTCACTAACCCCCCTGCTGGCCTGGTTGCCCCACACAGCCTGTTCGTCATCTGTTTGGTTGTTTCGGTTGTGACGGTCGCTTAGGCTTTTATATACAGTGGGGCCTTGACTTACGAGATTAATTCGTTCCGTGACGGAGCTCGTAACTCAAATTACTCGAATGTCAAATCAAAAAGTGAACGAGTGAGACACGTGATGCTGGGCTGATGTTGTGGCGTTCACTGTGACGTTCGCTGCGCCAACTAGCAGTGGGGTATCTGAAGCTGGCTCGTAACCCGAATTTTAGCACGCAACTCAAAGCAAAAAATCGGCTGAGAGACAGCTCGTATCTCGAAAAACTCTAGTCGGGACACTGGTAAGTCAAGGCCCCACTGTATATAGATTTCTAAAGTAGTATATTTCTTTTTTTCTCCAGCTTTATTGAGATATAATTGACATATAACATTGTGTGACTTTAAGGTGTGCAGTGTGTTGATTTGATACACGTTATATTTTACAAAATGATTAACACCATAGCTTTAGCTAACACCTCCATCACCTCATGTAGTAATTACTACTTGTTTATTGTGGTGATAACACTTAAGATCTACTTGTAACTTTCAAGAATATAACACAGTGCAGTTGACTATAATCACCATGCTGTACATTAGATCCACAGAACTTATTCATTTTATAGTTGGAAGATTGTACACTTTGATCAACATCTCCCCATTTCCCTCACCCCCAAGCCCCTGACAACCATCATTCTCCTTTCTGTTGCTATTAGTTCAGCTTTTTTAGCTCCCACATATAAGTGAATTCATACCGCATTTGTCTTTCTCTGTCTGCCTTATCCCACTTAGCATAATGTCCTCAAGGTCCATCAATATTGTCCCAAATGTAAAAATTTCCTTCTTTCTCATGGCTAAATAATATTTCATTATATATGTGACATGAGAAAGAAGTGTATAAGATAGATGAATGAATATCACATATTCTTTATTCATTCATCCATCCATGGATGCTTAGGTTGTTTCTTTCTTAGCCACCATAAACAAGAGCAATAAACATGGGGGTGCAGATAGTTTTTGAGAGAGTGATTTAGTTTCCCTTGGATATATACCCGGAAGTGGGATTACTGGATCATATGGTAGTTCTGTTTTCAATTTTTTGAGAAATGTCCATGCTGTTTCCATAGTGGCTGCACCCATTTACATTCCCACCAACAGAGCACAAGAGTCCCTTTTCTTCACATCTTCCCCAATACTTGTTATCTCTTGTCATTTTGATGGTAGCCATCCTAACAGGTGTGAAGTGTTATCTCCTTGTGGTTTGATTTCAATAGAAACATCTATTCAGTTCCTCTGCTCATTTTATTTTTTAAATATATTTTTATTGATTTCAGAGAGGAAGGGAGAGGGAGTGAGAGATAGAAACATCAATGATGAGAGAGAATCATTGATTGCTGCCTCCTGCACATCCCCTACTGGGGATTGAACCCACAACCAGGGTATGTGCCTTTGACTGGAATCAAACCCGAGTGCCTTCAGTCCGCACGCCGATGCTCTGTCCACTGAGCCAAACCAGCTAGGGCTCCTCTGCTCATTTTATTTTTTTACATTTTAAAAAATTTATCTTTATTGTTGAAAGCTTTAGAGATGTTCTCTCCCCACCCCCTTTGACCCTTTCTAGCGCGCACCCATCCCCTTCCTCAGGCCTTCACCACACTATTGTCTTTGTCCATTGCTTCTACTTATATGCATACATCTTTTTACTTTTTTTTTTTTAGGATCACAGTATATTTTATTTTACTTATTTATTTTTTTAATTCCTTATTGTTTAAAGTATTACATATAGTAGTACATATGTCTCCTTTTTTTCACACTGACCTCTCTCAGGCCACCCCCAGCCCCAGCACATGATGAATTCATGTTGGTTGATCTCTTACCACCCGCCCCCACCCTCCCTTGCCTTCCCTCTGAAGATTGATAGACTGTTTGATGCTTCTACATCTCTGGATCTATTTTTGTTCATCAGTTTATGTTCATTATAATCTACAAATGAGTGATTTTTTTTTCTCCAACTGGCTTATTTCACTTACATAATGCTCTCCAGGTCCACTCAGGCTGTTGCAAATGGTAAGAGTGCTTTCTTTTTTACAGCAGCGTAGTATTCCATTGTGTTGATGTACCACAGGTTTTTAATCCACTCATCTGCTAATGGGAACTTAAGCTGTTTCTAAATCTTGGCTATTGTATATTGTGCTGCGATGAACATGGTGCATATGTCCTTTCTGATTGGTGTTTTTGATTTCTTGGGATATATTCCTAGAAGTGGGATTACTGGGTCAAATGGGAGTCCCATTTTTAAATTTTTGAGGAAACTCTATACCGTTTTCCACAGTGGCTGCACCAATCTGCATTCCCACCAGCAGTGCACAAGGGTTCCTTTTTCTCCACATCCTCACCAGCACTTGTTGTTTGTTGATTTCTTGATGATAGCCATTCTGACAGGTGTGAAATGGTATCTCATTGTTATTTTGATTTGCATCTCTGGGATGATTAGTGACTTTGAGCATGTTTTCATATGATGCAGAAAAAGCATTTGACAAAATCCAACACCTTTTTTTGGTAAAAACTCTTAGCAAAATGGGAATAGAGGGATCATATCTCAGCATAATAAAAGCCTTATATTAAAAAACCTACATCCAACACCATAATCAATGGACAAAAACTAGAATCATTTTCCCTAAGAACAGTAACAAGACAGGGACGCTCACTCTCACCACTGCTAGTCAAAATAGTATTGGAAGTGCTAACCATGGCCATCAGACAAGAAGAAATAAAAGGTATCCAAATTGGAAAAGAAGAACTAAAACTGTCACTATTCGCAGATGACATGATATTGTACATTGAAAACCCTAGACTTCATAAAAACACTACTCAATTTAATAAATGAATTCGGCAATGTAGCAGGATACAAAATTAACACCAAGAAATCTATGGCCTTTTTATACACCAATAATGAATTCACAGAACGAGAAACAACAGAAACACTTCCATTTACCATCACACCAAAAAAGTTAAGATACCTAGGAATAAAGTTAACTAAGGAGACGAAAGACCTCTACTCAGATCACTACAGGATGTTGAAAAAAGATGATAGAGGAAGATATAAACAAATGGGAGAATATACCATATTCATGGACTGGTAGAATCAACATCATTAAAATGTCCATTCTACCCAAAGCAATCTATAGATTTAATGCAATCCCCATTAAAATACCAATGGCACATTTCATAGACCTAGAACAAAGTCTCCAAAAATTCACATGGAACAAAAAAAGACCCCAAATGGCTGCAGCAATCTTAAGAGAGAAGAAAAATGTTGGAGCAATCACAATACCAGATTTCAGGCTATATTACAAAGCCACTGTTTTCAAAACTGCCTGGTGCTGGCATAAGAACAGATATATAGACCATTGGAACAGAACAAAGAACCCAGAAATCATCCCAAGCCATTATGCTCAATATTTGACAAAGGAGTCAAGAGTATACAATGGAGTCAAAACAGTTTCTTCAATAAAATTGGACAGATACATGCAAAACAATGAAACTAGACCACCAACTTACACCATACACAAAAACAAACTCAAAGTGGATAAAGAACTTAAACGTAAGACAGGAAATCCTCTGTTCATTTTATAATCAGACTAGAGGCCCAGTGCACAAAAATTTGTGCACTCGGGTGGGGGGGGTTCCCTTAGCCCGGCCTGTGCCCTCTAGCACGCAGTCTGGGACCCCTTGGGGGATGACCACCTGCTGGCTCCCTGGGGGATTGGGCCTAAGCTGGCAGTCAGACATCCCTCTGGCAGACCAGGAGCCCTCGGGAGATGTCCACTTGCCAGCGGGGAGCAGGTCTAAGCTGCAGTCGGACATCCTTAGTGCTGCTGAGGAGGCGAGAGAGGCTCCCGCCACCACCACTGTACTGGCAGCTGTCAGCCTGGCTTGTGGCTGAGCAGAGCTCCCCCTGTGGGA